CCTCTTCTAACAAAAGTCTCTGACACCTTGGGCTCAGGGAATATTTGGACATTAAACACAAAATTCCACCTTTTGAGGCCCCTATCTGCTTTCAACGTAAAATAATTCACTTTCCTAGCACTTAAACTGTGAACAATAATTTAATCTCCACGTCGATGCCACAAGTCATTGCTGATGTGTAAAATATAGTTTAAAATAAGAAGTAAAACAAATACATTTGTAATTAATCTCCAAAAGCATAAATTACATAATCAACAATCCCATATATTTAGAAACTACTCGGTTTGTTTAAAATTTACAACATAAAGCAAATTACATTACATATAAATGAAAGAAACAAGTTTTGAATTAAGTTCATCAATCAAGCAACGTCCTACATTGAAACCCATATCAATAGGGTGGATTTGCACATGGGGTAGAGCTCCACCAATAAATGTCCGATCGACTGAGCTCCATCAGCATGTGGGATGCTGTCATTGATAATACTGAGAACCTGAATTTCTTTTTTTTTTTTTTTTTTAAAGAAAAGAGAAATTATTTAGTGGGTTTCCATGAAAAGAAACTGAATATGGATGAAAAAAAGGCTGAACATGGACGGAAAGAAGCTGAGAATTAATATTTGCAGTTTCAAAAATAAGCGAATAACTTTACCAGTGAGAGAGCAGTCAAAGTTCATTTTTTCAAAAAGGGTGAAAGGACATGCTTAGCTTGAGGGTGATCCCATTCCATGATTCCACCATTCATCGACCATACATTGTACGTCGCAGAGAAGGAGGAGGAGATGGTTGCCCATTTTCAAGCAGGGGAAGAGCCAAAGGGACCCTCTTTAGTTCTGGACAGTCAATTATGTAAAGTTCTTGGAGGGAATGAATCATAGCTCCACCACCACAAATGCTTTTCAGTGCCGGTAAGCGCGCGAAGAACAATTCCTTTAATTTGGGAAGAATAAATGTCGTTCCTTCTCCTTTGTGATTTTTTTCTTCTTCTGATGCTATTATTTCCTCCAATTTCATACAAGAATCCACGTAAATGAGCTCTAAGTTTTGGAGACCTTGCAGCAGCTCAACTGGAAACAACTTCTTAATCTTTGAACAATTAATCAGATACAACTGTTTAAGAGAAGAGAAGATGGCAAGTGGTGCTGAAGCATGAGAGATCGATTCCACTACTACTGATCCTACTCTCACAAGTTCAGTCAAGTTGCCCAAATCGATAAGCCCAAGCTCCTCAATGTTGTTGGGTAGTGCGTTTAAAGACGATAATGACAAGTCAACCACACAATCTATCCCTTCACACTCCCGAATAAGACAACACTTCAACTCAGTTACTTTATGAAATAAAGGAACATTGCTTAAACAGTTGAAATCATCAATCTTCTCGATTCCTAAATCGCTAAGGCCATTTGGGAGCTCTATGTGATCTATTTTCTCCATCTCACAATTCACAAAAGTTACCTCTCTCAGAAATAGCTTTAAATCTGGGTCCTTCAAAAAATACACACGTCCATGTGATCCTGCTCCTACTCCAATTTGGAAAATTGTAGGCCATTTACCTTGTAAGGACTTCGCATATTCCTCAAACTCTTGGATGTCACAAAATGAACATTGAAGTAACTCAAGCTTCCTCAATTTGCCTACTTCTTCTCCTCTTAAATGCTGATATAATATTAAGCACTGGAGATGAGAAAGCATCGGCAATATTCCAACTGGTAGCTCCTCTAGAGACGGTGACGAGACACGAAGACATGTTAGGTTTTCTAACAATTCTATACCATGAGGAACCTTTTGTATTGCAGTGTAGTAAAGGTCCAGCTTTCTCAGTGCTCTGAGCTCTGCTAGCGAAGGTACATGTTGTAACCTCTGACAAAAAGCTAGAATCAATGCATTGAGATTTTTCAAGTTTGAGATTGAATTGGGTAGTTCGGTAATCCAAGTACCAGAAAGATTTAGTACTTTAAGCCCAGGCATGTGCTTAAAGAAAGATTCTGGAATACCTTTTAAATCCCAATTTTCTTGCAGTAACAAGGTTGATAAATGAGGGCATCGGGGTGACATGTGCGGAAGAATTTTTTAATATTGTGATTTCCATTAAAGAAACCTTCTCAAGATCTACCGTCCATTCATGCTCACTTGGTATTTCCTCCAATTTCTCACCAGCTTTTACCATGTACTGACGACGTACAATATAAATTGCCATGTCTCTCAAAACATCATGCATCTTAACGCTGTCGCGCAAGCTGTCCAGGTCTACATAATCTCCTGCCCACTCTAACAAGCAATTCTTTTGAAGCTTATTTAAAATGCTACAGCCTCTGTCATACATCGCTTGTCTGGTCCCTAAGCCATCAAGGAGTCCCTCATCTATCCAACTTTCAATTAATTCCACTTTTTCAATTCTATAATCTTCAGGATACAAGGAACAATATAAGAAACAATTTTGGATTTCTGAATTTTCCAAACGGTCATAACTAAACTTCAAATGCTCAAATATTTCGGTTTCCAATCCTTTCACACTTTTCACTCGCTCACGCAATTCCTTTAGTGCATTCCTCCACTCACAAGGATCATCTACCCCCTTCATGCTAACAGCTGTTGTAACAATGGCAAGCGGTAAACGACCACATTGCTCAACGATTTTGCTGACAATATCTACAAGATTTTTATTTTGGAGAACATTGTGCCCAACATGATCTAAGAATAAGTTCATGGACTCTGCTTTTGAAAGAGGTTGCACTTCGACCACCTCACAACCCATAGATTGACAAACCTCAATCGATCTGGAAGTGAGTACCATTTTCTTCCCCTGACCTAATGTTGATTCAGGGATTCCTACATCCAGTAGAGAAAACCATTTCCAAACATCATCTAAGATCAAAACATATCTCTTTCCCTCCAAAATATCCCTCAATGCTGCTGCTCGCACCAATTCACCTTCTGGAAGATCTTCTTCGAAAGAATCTGCAATTTGTTTTTGTAATTTGAAAACATTCAATTCTTTCGAGACGGTAACCCATATAACCTTTTCAAACTGACCACGTTCCTTCAACAGTTGATTATTGATATGCTTCATGATGGTAGTTTTTCCTATGCCACCCATTCCACACACTCCAATCATTCCAACCTCATCACCCATCAGATACTCCCAAATTTGTTCTTTTACATCAATTTCACCTTTTAGATTTGGCACTAGTAATTTCACCCCGGAGGCTGGAGGGCCATCAACTGCCACACCTGCAGGGAAATTGCCTCGTCGGTAAATTGTCTCCACTTCTTCAATCTTTTGGCAAACAAGTTCTCCTAGGTGAGCACGTTTGAAGTATGACACAACCCGAAACTTTTCTTCAATTGTATCCACTTCAGTGTTTATCCTTCGTACATCTTCAAACCAGTTCTCCACTTCTTTCTTCAGCTTTTTTCTGCGACGAGTCTCCGCTTCCATTTCTGATTCGAAGTCTTGCATTCGATCATTAAGCTCGTTCACTTTTCTTTTAAGATTATTCACGTTTCCTTCAAGTTTTCGGTGATAATCTGTGTAACTCTTGATTGGACCCCCAATGTACGTTAGCACGTTAAAAACAAACTCCATAAATATAAAGCCTTGTCCTGTAGGTAAAAAAAACCAACGTACATTAAAATATATTTTACCAAAAACAAAAAGTAAGAATAATATTTTTGAAAGGGTTAAATATTGATTATAATCAAAATGTATGTGGATCTTGTGGAAAGACGATGAATTTATGTTACAAGGTAAGATTATAACCACAAGATTAATAATTATATGATAAAGTAATTAATTATTACCTGGTCAAGTGCTGAGGCAATTGCTGGTACTTCTCCTATATTCTTAATTATAGTGTCCTGTTTAAATTTATGAAAGAAGGAAACTAAGATCTCCTTGCATAATTTGTGAAGAGCACAGCAAAATCAGATTTCTACGACATTGTTTATAATTCATTCTATAATGTATAAAATTATAAGTCATAGGATTCGTATTGTAATTTTTGTTTAGTTATTCGTACTGTAATTCATGCTATTGTTGTTTTCACTTGCTATAATAATTATATATTATAAAACCATAATTATAAGTCATATTGTTACAATTTATAAAATTCTAATCAATGTTGTCGTAAAATTATTCATATCATATTATTAAAATTATTAATTTTGACTCACATTACCATTCTTTGAGCTTTCACGTGGTACAATGCTAAGCTTTTTTTTATATATCATTTTTATTACACATTTAAAAAATTCAAAAACTCAGTTTCTTTCCTCCTCTTTTATTTTTTAAATAATTAAAATTTTTATTTGATTTTATTTTATTTTTTTATATATATAATTAATAAAAAAAATTAGATGATTGACTCTAAAAGTAGACAAAGAGGATGGAAAATGCCATCTAATCCTCCACCCTACATAATATTCTTTTTTTTTTTTTTTTTACTTTGACGAAGACAAATCAGTTTCATGCTTCTTCTTCTCTTTCCATTCACTCATTCTTTCTTTTTTTTTTTTTTTTTTTTATTTCATCTAATTTTTTGAATTTTTTAAATAAAGAAAAAAAGTCAGAAGAAATCAATTCTCCAACCTTTTCTTTCCTAACCCTTTTATATTTCTTTTTCTTTTGACGTCCACTTTGTCTTTTATCTTTTTTTTTTTCTTTCATTTGAACATTTGAATTTTTTTACCATTTTTCAAGGCAGTCACGTTTCACCTTAAAAATCTACTTTTTTTTTTTTTTTGTCAAATCCTTCTTTTTCTCTTTCCCACGTCAAGTCAATATCAAACACGAAAGATCTTTTGTTTTACCCCATGCGCCACTTTTTGTTATTTTTTTCTTTTTTTAATTTTTTTAATTGTACCTTAGTTGCGTAAATAATAAAAAAGAAAAATCCAGAAGAAACGTTTCAGCAAAAAAATTAACGCTTTTTTCTTCCTTACTTTTTCTTTTGTTTCTTACCACATCAGATCAATACGCATCTCTCTTTTCTTTTCCACGTTTTCTGTTCCTCCCACTCTTTCTCATTTTTTTTCATTCTTACAAATTTATTTGATCTTTATTTTTTAGTTCATATCAGATCTTTGAATTATAGGTTTTTATGTTCCCCTTTCTTTTTTCTTTTAATGGATGGAATTATTAAAGTTTGCTGATTTTGTTGTTGAATTTATTGATTATTGGATATTAATTTTTATATGCAGGATTTTTTAAGTTTGAAGGAAGAAAGATTTGATGAAAACAAAGTCCAGGCTAAAAATTAAAAAAAAATGGTATGACTCTTTTTGGAAGCTTATTTTTTGGGTTTTTTTTTAATTATTAAATTAAAGTTTTTTTTTTTTTCATTTTTGGGTTTTTGTTGTTGATCATCTTGCAATTTCAGTTCTGTTTTGTTGTTTTTTCTCATAGATTTTCTTTTAATTTTATTTGGATAATTGTTTTTTTTTTTAGTGAAGATATTTAAGTGTTAAGTTTTATGATAACATCTGTTAATTCCTTTCTCTCTGTCTTAGAGTTTTTTTTTTTTTTTTTTAAACTTACAGCTTTTAATTTCTTGGATAACAAAAAAGCAAAGATATTAGATATGAAACTATATATAAGGTAAATCTGAATAGTAGAATGTGAATAATTTAGCCTGAATGTAATAGTAGTTATGATTTTTTTTTATTGATAATATTTCGGACAATTTAAAAGTTTACAAGCTAAAATGCGGAGAAAATGAGCTCGGAATAATCCTATTTGAAAATCAGGTACGTAAAGTTTTTTATTTAATCAATTCTAAATTGAAATGTTGATTTAGATTGTATACTATTTCTTCTTAAATGCATATTATACAAAATATGTTTGAGAAGCAGCAGAAAAAATAATAGTTACTTTAACTCATTTCATTGATTTGGTCCTTTGTTTTTAAATTTGTCAAATTTTTTATTTGTATTTTTTCCTGTTTGGTTTTCTTGGAATATTGGTTATTATACCAGTGGTATCAATGCTCTACTAAGAGGATGTTTAAATTTCTCCTTAATTTTTTTGTTTTTGTTACATACATCTGGTCTATATACACTGAATAGGAGTTCATGGATTGATATCTGGTTAATTGAAAGAAATCATATATTAGGGAAGGGATCCATTTACTTATTCCGGGTTGGTTTTTACTCTTAAAATTATTTTTGTTTATTAATTTGGTTAGCTGAATGTGATTGGGTTTCTTGGATTTGTAAAAGTTTTAATGGGATTATGGCTTTGGGAGAGAAGGATTTGGAATGATGAAATCGTAAATGAGTTTACTATTTTTTACTTTTATTTGAATCTATGATAAATATGAAATTGGAAAATAAGAAAACTTCTCCTTCTTATGCTTTAAAATTTATTTACTCTGTCTAAATATTCCAATCTTCTTATAAAGCTTTCCTCGGTATGTCTTCTAGTAGTTCAGAATTATATTGTTTGTATATCTTATATATAAAGAATTGCCAACGGATAGGAAGGTTTGCTAGAAACTCAGAATTTTTTATTGATTATTCACTAAAGAAAACGAGATTTTTGTTGTTGATCATCTTGCAATTTCAGTTCTTTTTTGTTGTTTTTTCTCATAGATTTTCTTTTAATTTTATTTGGATAATTATTATAACAACACGTTGACGTTCAAGGTTACTCAAAATTGTATATCCATTGAAGGAGTTGTTGTCAACTAAAAAATCTGTGTAATTCTATTGGTAGGCCTAAGCCTCAACAATCATGGTTTTATAGAATTTATTTACATTATTTATTTGTATCGCTATCAAAACTGATCTTGATCATAAATCTGTTAACATTTGATGTAACTCTGTTCTTTGATAATTAAACTTAATTATATTCAAGTCTATCTTTGGTTTTAATTGTGACTGTTTTTAGGGTATACAATCTAATGTATAATAATCGGATTGAGATTGATTTATTGTTTGTTTTAATGAACCTGAGTGTAGCTAAAGTTATGCATTTCAAGATTATAGAATTGTGTATGAGATAAGGCTATTTCTTTTAGAAATAAAGAAAGGAAAGTACATTGGAACTTCAAGTCAAGAAACTGTATGAAAAAGATGATCATGATGACTTTAAAGCTATGCATTTTATTTGTTTACATATAAATTGATTGTGGAAAAATATTCAAGCCAATTACAATTGAGTAGTTAACTTGCAGTTTTATTTTAGAGTTTTACCATTTAATGCCATAAAAGTGTTTGTTTTAATGCCTCTTTGAAACTTATTATATTCTGGAGTTTGATTTGTTAATGCGATAAAAGATTTTATTGAAAGATTGTCATTATTCATTAATTAGTTTGTAGTATACATGTGTTTCATACCTAAGAAAAGGATGTGATTTTAAGTTTTAGGGCTTAATTATCTTTTGATTGGTTTTTGTTTGTGAAATGTTTATGCCAAGTTACGGAAAGTGCCTTTTAAGCCTCATGATATTCCATGCTTTGATTTATTAGTGCATGTAATTAATTTTTTTAAGAAAAAAATTCCAATTGCCTTTTCAAATTTAAATAAATGAATATTGCATATGCTAATTGGAGGAAACCTAAGGTTAAGCTCTAACAATCTACAACTTCTAGGAGCATATTTGTTTATTCTATCTATTGTTCTTTATGCATCTCTTTTGTTTATTTTGTAATTGTTAGACAATGAGATTTTTTTTAGAAATTTTGATTTGGAAACAATATTTTATTTCTAATCTAGCAATGAAGCATTGGTTATAGACTTGCTCAAGAATTGGGTTACCTGCCAAGCTTGAAGGTTTGTTTAAGTTTTGAGAGGGTTTGGATAAAAAATTAAAATCTATTAAACGGGTTTAGGAACAGTATTTAGGTCTTTTTCAATTTTGGGCAAGGTATTGGACAAAAGATTTAAAGTTTGAACTCGATTTGGCCTAACTCGAATTCACATGTATGTATAAACTTTTGATTTATATATATATGTGAATTAATTTATATATAATGCACATATATATAAAAATTAAAAAAATTATATATTTTTTTGTTAAACTTAATTTTAATTTTTATATATAATTTTTATTTTTATTTTTATGTGAATTAAATATAATCTCATTAAATTAAATTTAATTATATTGATTTATTAAAGGATAATTTTAATTTAAAATAATTCCTCGATGTCAATGTCGATATTATTTTATATATTTATTATAATTATATTACCTTTTTTATGTATAAATATATACCCATATTTTGTTATTTATATATTTATATTTTATTTTATATTATTTTGTATTTATTGATATAATGCTTTTAAAATAAAAAGAATATAACATTTTTCTTCCCTTATAGTTTGGTTTCACTTACTCCGTACAATACAGCAATTTACTTCAATTCCAAGAAACTCTCTATTGCTCACCAATTGTTTTTAAATAGGAGGCCTTATAAAATGTTTTTTTTTTTCAATTTTGATTATATACAATCTGCATAGATAATGTAATTTAATACCTCTATATTAAATGACAATATAATTTCTTTAAATAAATAAAAACATATTTTTATTATATTTAGAAATAAATAAAAGTAACAATGATTAATTGACAAGTTAAGTAATAAAAAGTTGAGTTTTTTCTTATATGAGGGTTTATCAAAAATCTTTATTCCTTAATAGAAAAACTTTTAAATCTTTATTTTTCAAGCAGGGTATTTTAAGCACGTCCATTCCTTGTTATTGCTTACATAACCCGTTAACTTGTACAACCATATTTTACTGTGAGCAGTTTGAATTTCTGATTTTAACATTCATGTTCTAATTAATATCCTTGTTTTTTTTAATTATTCAAGAAAAAAAATCCAAAATCTTTTTCATCTCAGATTTTCTTTTATTTTTTATATTTTAAAAATATTTATTTGTTTTCCTCTTTCATATCTCATCTGCAAATCAAGAAACTAAAGACATAAAATTGTAGGTGCCCAGATCATGTAAATTTGAGCACCCAATTGCAAATTCTTCTTATTATCTTTTTTTTTTTTTAATAATCTCAACTTTTTCATCTGCAACTAAATAGAGAATTGAAAAATAGGTTTATATAATGTTTTAAGAATTAAACAATCAAGGTTAAATTTCAAACATTTTTATGAAATTTGAATATTTAATATTTCACCATGGTGTTTAAAATTTCTCAAAATCAATTATTAAAACATTCGATCTGCTTTGTGGCAAAAGAAAAAAAAAATCCAATCTGCGAAAAACTGCCTCTCTACTCTCAATTATTGGTTTGATTCTCGAAAGAAAAACATTAATAAGAGAAAATAAGAGAATTTATGTAAGTATTATATTTTTTAAATAGATAAATAATAAGATAAAAAAATTTAAAAATAAGTCAAGAACTTAAAAAAAAAAAGTAATTTAAAAATTACAAAAAAAAATTTTTGTGATTTGATTTTAATGAATGATTGAATATAAATAGATATATTTATTAAGTTTATGAGATGTAATGTTTTTATATGATTGTATTTTTTATATTTAATAATTTTTATGTAAATACATCATTAAAGTGATAACGTGTTGAAATTTTGACAATGATTAAAAAATTCATCAATACATATTTGTAAAATATTTTTTTATTTCACTTGATTAAAATTATTAATATAATAACAATTGTGAGCCATAAAAATAGCAAACATATCATGATAATGAAAAGTTATAATTAAAAAAATTATTATAATGAATCATTTTTTTCACTCTTTATTTAAATAATGGGTGTTAAAATTTTTTTTATTAATTTTAATTATCTAAATAAGGATACATCATTTTTTAAAAAAAAAAACTTTTTTTTCTTTCTTTTATAATTATTTATCCAAACATTACATTAGTATTATTTTGATATTTTGAGGTATGATGTATCTTTCTCTATGCTAGTCTAATTTAGATTTTTTTTTTCTGTTTCTTGTATGTTGTACATAACTATATAAGAATCAGATAGTAAATTCTTTTACATAACTATATAAGAATCAGATAGTAGATATTTTTAAGTAATTATGTACACATGATTTAGGTTTGGTCTACACAAGCATGATGGAAGGGCTTTTGCTGATGAGTCTGTTTCGCCTCCACTTGGTTGGTAGGACCAATAAAGGGTATAGGAAAAAAGTGGCATTTTACACGCATTAAATTCTTTCAGTGACCTTGAGAATTGCCCTTCAAGTTTTCTTGGCATATTCCTCTCAAACTTTACCATTATCCTATGACTTTGATTGCCACAGAAACTAAAATTCCATAACTCTTTAAAGCCTGGCCATTGATTCTTTTATTGTTATACAATACATCCATCAGGGCAAAAAGTTAGAAACCAAGGAAGAAATTTATTGTTATAAATTTATTGTTATAAATTTATTTTTTTGAATGTAATTAAAAAAATTAAAAATAACAAAAAGAAAATTAAAACTAATATAAAAACAAAGTCCACGCAAAACGGAAAAAAGAAAGGAAGTTAAATGGAAATACCACGTAAACAACTTTACTCAAGGATGGTAATAGATTGAATAGGGATAGGTTTATAGTTATATTGACTTTAATCTGATATTAAGTTATTATGTTTTCGGATATTTACACTTAACTTATGAGATATT